GTGGGTGGTTGGCGAATGCATTGGTGGCAAGGTATCGAATGTCTCTTTAATTTTCAAGACATGCCCACACACACTCGCACACAAAGGAAGACAACAAACCCAATACCAAAAGAATGCCATGAATTGATGTGAACATATTGCATTTCACGGTGGAATCCTTTATAGGATTGTGTGTGTGTGCGTGTGTGTGTGTGTGCGGGTCGGATGCATGTCTATGAGTTGTGTTTCGTTCGGGTTTGGCGTCCATTGACAAATGATGAATGATGTCCTATTGAGATTGCAAAACAGTTGAAATAACAGACAGACATACAGTGCGAGGAATTCAATTCAAGTTCCAATTGCATGGTCGGACAGACTTCGGATGGTCTTTTGTAATTTTTGTCCAAAGGGTTGCTCATTTCGAACATTTCCCAAAGATCGAATTTTTAGCAAATTTGAAAAGTAGCCTTTCTTTCAATTATTCGATTATATGTCTTTATCATTAATTGAGCCACAATTAATTGGAGAAAAAATTAGTTTATTTTGGATTTTCTTTGAGAAAATTAGAAAATTATTGTTCAGAAACTTGCAGGCATACCCATAAGAACTTTGGGTTTACGAAGCATATGTACAGAATTCGTAATACGTATATGTTGTTTAAGCAAAGGTATGAAGTGGCTCTACAATCCTTATTCTAAAAAGGTTTGGTAATTTAAAGTGACCGCAATATCTAAAGAAAGGGAATCAAACCGGCCAGGTCAGTTGCCAAAGCACCTCAAAGTCTGGCCTTTTTCAGTAGATATAGTCCTTCAGCATATGGTAGGACCCAAGTTTGCTTGGGAATATTATATTTATGTAATTCACGATTATTTAGAGTTTTTACCGTTTCTCGAGGTATAACCAGAAAAGGGTATACCTTTATATCTTATCGACGTAGACCTCTATATCAAATTTCGGGATTCGAGCTCTATATACGCCTTCAATACCCAATTTAGTAACATTTAGTACTTTTCGAATAATTTTAGTAAACTTTTCCAAAACCACCTCTATATTTCAATTTCAGATACCAACAGAGACTTCAATATCAAATATCATGGTTTCAGATCTATAATTTGCCCCATTACCAAATTTAGTACGATTTAGTGCAATTATAGTACGCATACCCTAAACCAGCTTCTTCTCTTAACCATAGACACTAACAGAGATATCCATATCAAATTTCAGGATTACAGCTATATTCCTTTAACCCATACCAAATTTAGTAATATTCAGTACTTTTCGTACATGTATAGACATATTTTCAAAACCCCTCTATATCTCAATCCTAGATACCAACAGAGACCTCAATATCAAATTTTTGGATTTCAGATCTGATATTTTCCCATTGCCAAATTTAATACCATTAAATGCAATTATAGTATGCATTTCCAGTACCACATCTTAACCGCAAATGTCATATCAAATTTCAGGTTTTCAGCTATATTTTTTCTTCCATACCAAATTTAGTATTTTTCAATTATCCTTAATATCAAATTTCGAGATTCTAGCTCTATACACGCCTTCAATACCCAATTTAGTAATATTTACCCAATTCAGTACCACTTAGTATTTTTCGTACAATTATAGTACGCATTTCCAAAACCATCTACTTCCCTCAATTACAGACACCCACAGCGAGATCCATTTCCAGATAAATATATATATATATATATATATATATATATATATATATATATATATATATATATACTATTTAGTTCTTTTAGTACATTTATTGGTCACATTTTCCAAACCCCTTCATATCTCAATCCTAGATACTAACAGTGACCTTAATATTAAATTTCGGGATTCCAGCCCCATCCCTTTACCCAATATATGAAATATACGAAAATGTTAAAATGTGCGTGAGGTACCAGTATAGTCGATCGAGGTATTCCATTTTCATACCTCATATAATTCAGATAAAAATATTGGTATGGGAAAAATTACAAGAAAATCGAACATTTATATCCAAAAGTTGTAAAAAATTGCAGACTTGTTTCGCAAGTTATTTCAGATAAAAGTACTGAAAATTGTGACCATTTGTGGCTGAGATTCCAGAAGGGGTTCGCAAATATATTTCATCTTATATGCATGTATGTGTAAAATTTGAAGATAGTTCGATGCTTATCTCGCTTTCTTTGTGCGTTATGTTTTTCAAAATCTTGAACCCTATGTGGGAAAGGTACCAGAAGGAATGGTCCGATTCTTTTTAACAGAACTTGTGTTGATGGAAATATTGAGATGTTTTATGAGCTTCATGGATATTCAAAATTTTGATTCTTTGTGGGACAGGCACCAGAAGGAGTGGACCGATATATCCCATCTTCGCACAAGACCTTGGGTTAGCAGAAATAATGGTATTTTTGAAGTATGAAGAGAACCGGACACTTATTTCGTATTTAACTCTTTTGATTGACCTACCCTTTGTGGGGAGGGTACCAGAAGAAATTGCCCGATCTCTACAATCTTTATAACAGATCTTGTGTTGATGGAAGTATTCGGATGTACGAAGTCTGAATGGAATCGGACGCTAATTTTGTGTTTTATGAGCTCCATGGATATTCAAAACTTTGAACCTTTGTGGGAGAGAATACCAGAAGAATTGTCCGATCTCAACCATCTTTGTAACAGATCTTGTGTTGATAGAATCGGATGTTACTTTCGAGTTTTATGAGTTTCATTGAACTCATGAATCGGTGAACCGATATATTCCATCTTCGCACCAGACCTTCGGTTATCAAAAATAAGGGGATTTGTGAAATATGAAGAGAACCGGAGGCTTATTTCGGATTTTATAATTGTTTTGGTTATTTAAAACTTTGACCATTTGTGGGGGAGGTACCAGATGGAGTGGACCGATATTTTCCAGCTACACACCAGATTTGGGTTTTTTAAAAGTATTGTGATGTATGTAATTTGAAGAAAATCGGACTCTTACATCACATTCTATAAGAGTTATAATTATTCAAAATTGACCCTTTGTGGGAGAGGTACTTGACGGAGTGGACCGATATTGTCTATCTTCGCACCTGCCCTAGCACTGATGCAGATATTGGGATTTTCATAGTTGGATGGACATCGGATTATCCTTTCTCTTTCTGTGCAGTAAAATATTTTTTGAAAATTTCGACCTTTTGTGGAGTGTGGGGGGTACAAGAAGGAGTGGGCCGATATTGTCCATCTCCGATCTCTATCTAAGTTTGATAATAATATTACAATGTACCAAGTTTGGAACAAATCGGATACTCTCTTCGAGAGTTATCGTGCGCATCAACCAGTTAGACAGACAGACACCCTTAGATCGACTCCAAATGTCCTGGGACGAATTTAGTTCAAAGAGAATTTGGCTCCAAAATCTTTATTTCGATGAGGCACGTTTTGTCCGTATCAAATGATATAACCTCCAAAGCTATATGTCTGAGTAAAAAAGTAAAAAAGCTGCTAATTTCGGCCGAGCCGAACTTTTAATACCATTCACCATTTTGAAGGAGCTTGAATAATTTCCAAAAAAATACCGTTCAATGGAAAACCATGATATGGGGTTTGTAGTATCCATTACGAGCTTTAAATACGAAATTTGAAATAATTCCGGTGATTAATGTCACTAAATTCATCAAAATTCCGGATATCGAGGGGTACCATTTAAGGGGGGCTAAACGAAATCGTATACGACCTGCATATACTATTTTCTGTCACAGACTGTAGTATCTACTAGGAATTTCAAATGCGACATTTCAAACAAATTATGTGAATATTGTACCTAAAATCTTCAAAATACCGAATATAGGGAGTTACAGACATATGGGACCTATATGAAGACCTGCATAGACAATTTCCTTCAAAGGCTGTAGTAGTACCTATTAGGAACTTCAAATACGAAATTTGAAACAATTCCGGTGAATATTGCATCCTAAAATGGCCAAAATATCGAATATCGAGGGTTATACAATATCGCGAACCTATATAGGCATTTTTCTTCCAGGAAATAAATTGTTTTTAGACAATTCCATTGAAAAATGTGGCTAACATCATCAACATACCGAATATTTGGGTTACCCTTATATGTGGGATATTCGATATCGTGGACATATGTATATAGACAATTCTCTGCCAGGTGGTAAAGTACTCAGAAGGAACTCTTTGTATAGATTTGCTGACAATTCCATTGAAAAATGTCGCTAGAATCATCAAAATACCGAATATCTTGAGGTACCGCAATATGGGGGTTATGCGATATCGTGGACCTATATATACAATTCACTTTCAGATGATAAAGTACTAAGAAGAAACTTCTTGTGTGGATTTGTAGACAATTCCATTGAAAAATGTGGCTAAAATCATATAAAAAACTAATATCGGGGAAACCGTTATATGGGTGATATGCGATATCGTGGACCTATATAGACAAATCTTTTCCAGAGGGTGAAGTACTTAGAAAGAACTCCTTGTGTGGATTTGTAGACAATTCCATTGAAAAATGTGGATAAAATCATCAAAATACCGAATATCGGTGGTGGGGGGTTGCTGTTACCTTTATACGGGGGCTATATGATATCTTGGTCCATCTTCGAACTTGTCCTGCTTGCAGACAAAAAATTGATCTGTGCAACATTTTAGATTCCTATCTTAATTTGTTTTGACTCTATCGCGGGGGTGTAAAATAAATACTTCCTCAAGTTTTTACTGAAATTGAATTATTTCCCATGGCCTTATGGTCAAAATTTGTTTAAATTTAAAAAAAAAAAAAATTGTTTAACTTTTAAAAAAAAAAAATTGTTTAACTTTTTTTAAGAAAATTGTTTAACTTTAAAAAAAAATGTTTAACTTTTTAAAAAAACAATTGTTTAATTTTTTTAATTTTTTTTTAAATTTGGTCCAATTTGCCCCAAAAATTCAATATTTCTTCAGTTAATTTACTTTCCCAACACTGATGGTATTGTTCCAATTCCCATTCAAACATCAGCAACAGTTTCAAACCTAACACAACCGAAATGGGCTCCAAGCAACAAAAACCCCAATCTAAGGAATAACAAAATTATCAACTCCAACATGTTGTGTTATGTTCGTTATCAAACATGTGTGATGGCTACTACGGTTGGCATGATGATGGAGAACAAACCGAATTTGGAGTAACGCGATGCGAGAACAAACATTCAAGAAAAGAAATGATTGGAAGCCAGGCAAACCCCACAATGAAGTGGCAGAGCAGCGGCGCCAGCGATGACGGCTAAGCTGGCTGTGCTGGCAGACAGGCAGGTTACAAAACACAAAAACACCAAACAAGATTTAGTTTTGATTTGAACGTGTTGTCTGTTGTGCCGTATTGTGCCGTGCGTGTTCGGTTAAAAAAAAGAAGCGAGAATTAAAACATTGCGGCGGCGGCGTCGTTGCATTTCGAGATGTTTAAAACCAAAACCACAAATCAAGTGAAACGAGAATCCATAAATAAATGAAATAAATTTCAGAATTTTCAATAAAAAAATAATTAAATAAATTAGTGTAAATTAATATAATAATATTTCAATAATCCGGAATATGTTTTTCTTTTAATCGCGCGTGTGTGTGTTTGTTTAAAGTGATATTGCTACTGCTGTTATTGTTGCTCTCCTCCGTTTGTGTTTTTTTTGGGGATTTTTACGAGTCCAAGTGTCTGTCTGAGTTGTGTTTTTGTGTCTCTCCTCTCTCTCCCCCGGCTTTGATGTTGAATTTTTAATGAATCTCTGTCAAAATAAATGAAAAGAAGAAATTGTAAAACAAAATCGAAATGTAAATTTTTGGAAACGCATGCCAATCTAATTAATCAATGAAATTTTAATAACAACAAATACAACAACAACAAAGAAGTAAGCAAATTTCAATAAAACATGAAAACATGCAAATTTTTGTCCAAAAAAACAAATCGGCCTGTCAATTCCCAAAAAAAATTGTGGAAACAAAAAAACAAATGGAAAAAGAATGAACCCCACACACGCACACACAGCTAAACTTACACATGTGAGAAAAGTGAAGCAAAACAAAGCAAGATGATGTTGGGAGACTTTTTTTGTTGCTTTTGTTTTTTTTTCGGTGGCATTCGGTCAGTAGATGATGTGTTGTCTTGGTTTTGGTGGCTCCATCCATAGATTTATTTTGAGTGGTTTGGCTGTGTTATTTTTGTTATCGTTTTGAATTTAAATGTGATTTGGATAAAAGTATGTAATATCCGTATATGTGTGGAGTCTGTAATCCTATAGCAGCAACAACAACAACTAAAACCAGAAGTCATCCCATCGCCGACTGTGGAAAAATTCTCGTTTCTGTTTGTTTTTTTTGTTTTAGTCAACCACTGCTGCGCTTTGTTGTTGCATTTTGGGTTTTCCCTTTCGCTGCAGTTTTGTTGTGATTCAGATTGTTGTTGTTGCTGTTTTAACAACAGCCTGTTTGTTTTATGCTGTTGTTGTTAGTGTGTAGTTTTTGTTGATGTTGTCAATTTCCCTTTTTCGCCGACTGACTGGCTGGCTGTATGACCACCATCGAATTGTCATTGTTTTCTTAACGCCGCTAAATTCTCGCTCACATTGGGTGGGGGAGTGAAAAAATCTTCCTGCCAAAAATTAATAATCAAGCGAAGTGAAAATTCAAAAAAAAAAAAAAATCCAAAAAAAAAAAAAAAAACAAATTTAATTTAAAAATGTTTGAGAAATTTATGAATAAAGTTTCCATAAGAATGAGTTACATGACCACCGGGGAAAAAGCGACTGAGTTATAATCACAGTTAATATTTCAGAAAGGATATGGAACAACTCTAGTTTATAAAAAAATTCGGGTTCAAAAAATCAAGAATTTGACTATAACTTCCGAACCGCTTAAAAATTACCCCATCATGTGACCGTCCCCCAAGAAAAAATTGTTTCCCGAGATCAGGGTAAAAATACCAAACACTGGAAAAATTAAAAAAAAAATCGAAATAATTGAACAGTTTTTACTAAACTAGAGTTAAGTCCTTAACATTTTATTAGAAGTCCAAATGCTTAGGTTTTGTTTAGTAAAAACTCTTTATTTTTTTCAAAATTTTTTCAGTGGCACGTATTTTTTTGAGTGTCGAACTCGGGTTGGCAGATTTTTGACCCCAAAGTCCGGATTCAAGACCCGGATCCACTTACCCGATGTAGACAATATAGGTATCGTTTGAAAGCTTATGAAATACCTACCTGGGGATATTTTTAAACGGTTCGGAAATTATAGTCAAAATATCGATTTTGTGTAGCGGGATTTTTTTTAAACCCCCAAAAAGTTTTTTGGTGCGTCCCCAAAGAAAAAAAATTGTTTCCCGCAATCAGGGTAAAAATACCTACCTCTGGAAATCGAAGAGTTTTTACTAAACTAGAGTTGTTCCGATTTTTGCAACTTTTGGCTTAACTCTAGTTCAGCAAAAACTCTCAAAATTTTTTGAAATTATTTCTAGAGGTATGTGTTTGTACCCTAATTACGGGAAAGTTTTTTTTTTGGACGCATCGTGATACCCTTATATTTGAAGGTCCGGGTCCAAGACCAGGATCTACCACACCGATATGGAGAATATACCTATCTAATAAGTGGTCACATGGCGGCGTTATTTAAAACGATTCGGAAGTCTTTCTAGTTAAATAATATATATCGAGTTTTTAGGCCCGATTTTTTTTATATAACCCCCGAAAGTTGAATAAGGCTCCATTATGGGCGTCCATATAATATATGCCAAACCCTCCAAACTTTGTTTCGATTTGTGTTGTCATTTCTCCTGGATCCATAGATATGGTCTTTAAACCCGGACAACCCGATTCTGTTCATTATATTCTCTTCAGTTTTTCTAAATTATATGTTTTTTAGGTAGTCTGCCTTCGGCCGAGGGTTTCAGATTTACTCCTCTGGGTATGTGCAACACCGGCTACGCGAACCAAATTTTTTTAAAGTTATACTCGTATTTTTTCTACGGTCTTCGGTCTGGGCTTAGTCTCTCCTCTGGGTACGTAAAGTAGTTTTTCATACTACACTGAACAGAATCGGGTCGACCGGTTTCAAAAAACCTGTTACAAAAAAAAAAAAAAAAACAAAAATAAATAAATAAATAAAAAAAAAAAATAAACTTTTTAAAAAAATATTTTTCGTAAATTAGGGTTGTTGCCGAAATTTCATTCCAGGAAAAAAAAAATAAAAAAATTGCAACAAAGTCAAAGGCCATCATTTTTACATATTTTTTAAATTTTATTGGAAGAAAGCAAAAAAATGTCGGAAATAGCATCAAATTTTTGAGTATGTTTAGATTTGTTCGAATTGGTCACCTTTGCCACAAATTATGATCTTCAAACGGCCAATGAAACCGTCACACGCTGCCGGAATGTTGCTCTGCGGTATTTTGGCCCATTCACGCCGAAGCACGAAGGAGAGCCGAAGGAGAGCCACCATCGGCTGTTATGGCGGCCCACACAAACACCATGGCCGGCGCTTGAGTTCTGGTGGCCAACCGAAGGTGCATATTTTCAGCTGACCTCTTTTGCAAGTTAACACGATATTTTGTTTGTTTACAAACTACCACGAATGTTTTCTCATCGGAGAAAACCGAATTCGGCAGTTCAGCACTTTCGGCTAAGCGAAGCAATTCTTTAGCTCTTTTGAGTCTATTTTCTTTCTGTTGCGGTGTAAGTTTTTGCACGTTTTGGAATTTCAATGGCTTTACCCCGAGCTCATTTTTCAATATTTGCGGAATGGAATATTGCAATTTGTTCAGCTCACGAACCATTTTTCGGCCACTGCGACACGGGTTTCGATCTAGTCGCTTCTTTACTATTCGAACCATTTCTGCTGAAATTGCTGTTTTTTTTTCGTCCTCTACCTCGATGTCGGGCTACGCTACCAGTATCACAGTAACGAGCGATGGTACGAGACACAAAAGATTTATTCACATTTAAATGCTGGAGTGCCCTAACGATAGCCACTTGTGGTTCTCCAGCCAAATATAAAGAAATCACACTATCACGCTTGAATTACACCACGAATATTTTTTTCCGGAAAATTCTCACCAAAATGCTTTTGTACGATTGTAAACAATAACTGTAATGAGCTGTCACTGTCACAATAATTTTAACAGCTGCCGGACGAGTGGCTTGGAAATGACAGCAGTCTGAAGTTGGTTGCAGTTTTTCATATCTCCTTGAATATCCCAAATTATCCGGGAAAACCGTCCGTCTTGAACCGTCTTAAATGCTGACTATCGGGACAATTATCCGTTCCCAAAAAACTAATGCCCTTAATCAGATTAAAAATAGAATTTAAAATTTATCTTCGGAAAAAATCAATACAACTCTAAATTTTTGCTTCACCCTTATACAACGGTCCCCCGATTTAAAATATTCAAATATTGTTAACAAAGAAATGAGCTATAATTTAATTAATCAGGAAGCTTCGTATATAAATTCACCATATAATGGTACCTCCTTATTTACCTAATATACTTCCGAATGGCCGGAAATATGGAATTTTGTGTTCTCGTAGGCTAACAATTATTCAATATCTGCCCACAATTTCACAAAAGACCTCAAATAGTCCTTAATGAATTTTACGCCCTAAGTGTCCGCAAATTATAATTTAATTTTATTAGATTATATTCAAATAATTTTTCGATAAAAATTATAATTTTTTGTTCTAAATGATTGAATTTAAATAATTTTCTAATATCCGAATATTTCCCTAAGTATGCCCTAAAACATGATAAGTACTAAAAGTTTCGGACCAGCCATGCCTCTTCACGAAAGTTTCAACCCAGTGTGCCACCACAATACGTTTTATCCATTAATTCAGTTTTGTTGAAAATGTTAATCTCTTTTTGTTTTGTGTTTTCCCCTTTTCAATTTTAATTGCCCATTTCTTTTTTAAAATTCGATACAATTATTTGTAGTAGGTCTGCGTTTGCAACGGACCCAGTCAAGTGGTTTTGTATTTTTTATTCTTTCACATTGTTTTTCCCTTTTTTCCGTCATTAACCCGTACACACCCCCTTCAGCCGTACCACAGAAGAAAAATCCCCACCTCTTCTTTTTCTTTTTTCAATAAATTCCATTTGCAATTGTTGCATTCTGCAGATACTCGTTTTTTTTTTTGGTTCGCCTACAACAACATCATTATTGCTGTCGACGTCATCATCGTCATCAGTACAACACTCAACAATGCTGCTGCTGATGATGATGTTGCTGCTCGTTGGCCTGATGTTTATTATCATGGATTCCGTTTTGTTGTTTTTCTGAATGTTTGCTTTTGTTCTTCATTTTCTACACAGAAAACAGGCCCAACAGAAACCGAAAAAAAAAACAGCCACACTGCATCGCAGCCCCCAACCTCCTTCCAATCTTTGCTCTCAACCCCTCTCTCACCCCTTGCAACAACGACTATACAACGTGTTCTCTCATCCAACGCAGTTGACCGCTGACGCCACAGTCATTGTTTGCTGCCGTCGCTGCGCCGTCGACGTCTGTTATGTTGATGAGTCTGTTGTTATGGTTCGATGTGAGTGGACTACAACACGACACAACGATGCGTTGGAATGGCTGTGGAGTGAATGCCTGATGTTGATTGTGTTATTGTTGTTGTTATTACTGCTTTTTCTTCTGCTATTTTGTAATAAAGCCGCATTTAATAATTAAATAATCCATTCAGTTATTTCTTTTTTTTCTGCTTTTGTTCTCTAGAATACATGAGTAATTTTTTTTTTTGTAAGGCAAGGTCGGTGGTATTCTTTTTTGTTTCTTTGGATGGGTGGCTTGGTGAATTGAAAGTGAAAATATTCTTTAAAAAGAAACTTTGTTTTTATACCCTCCACCTTGGAAAGGAG